GGCAAATCCTAAGACTATTTTGCAGCAGATTTACCCCTGCTCGGGAGGGTGCATTCAGGAAAACACAATCCATTTATTACAACTGTGAAACTAATTTCCAAGGCCTATCTTTGATAATGGGTTCAGTACACAATTCAAAGTATTTCCATTAGGATAGAGACAAATCTTGGCACTGCACTGCTTCAAATTGTTGAAAAGGGCAATTCCCTTTGTTTGTTTGGAATGAAAGTCTCTTAAAAGGAGATTTAGAACAAGACCCTGAAAAGAGGTTTAGGAGAACAACAGGGGAGATGTTTTCCTGACTGCATGATATCGACGGAGTCTGAACCACCGGTTATCAAATAGCACCTTTCAGACTGGAGATGAATGTGTGCTCAGAACTGTTTGCTACCCGAAAGAACTGATTTGCTCAAATTAGGGAATGTGGACTAGAAGTTAATCATCAAACTGGAACCAAAAAAATAAGAAAAACCCAAACACTCTAAAATTAAGGCACAGTCCTTGGGGTTTTGGCAAAAAAATATTTCTATATTTAGGCTGTCCAGGACTTGAATCCAGCTTGAATTCTGCAGGAGGGATGTGCCACCTATGAGGTACAGTTCAGTCCCGGTGAAAGAAGAATCAAAAATCCACTCATTTAGGCATAGCAGAGATACAGGTGATCACAGAAAACAAGTTTGTCACAGGTATCCCTTTGTCAAGAAGATAAGGTAAAACCAGGTATTTCTACCAGCATTGTTTATGCCATACCCTTAGTACTGTGTCCCTACTATTCTTTGGTAGTTTTCTGTGACCTTAAAACAAAGAAAGAAGGATGGATGAGATTCCAAGTCCAGGTACAAATTTCTAAGCATAAATAATCCCAGAAAATAAAGGTTTTGACTAAGGCATCCTACCCTCAGCACAGAAGTACTAGAAGCTGCCATTCTTTCCTCATGGCCTTTTGCTTGACAGATACATGTATGCTGCCCTTTGTGAATAGACACTTCTCCCTCTCAATCTGTTGCCTCAGCCCTCTCTATCCTGTGCACCCACTTGTATGAGGCAGGAATTGATATATTTTTAACTTTGCATCTGTGTGGGTGCATGTGACTGGCAGGCTGCCAGTGTCTGTTGTTTCTGAACTCTTGTCTTCAATCATTTTGGAAGTAAGCCTTGTAGGGAGACACTAAGCAGGGATGAAAAAGGATTTCAGCCTACCTGCTATGTGTGGCAGTAACTAATCATTTAAAAGGAAAACATAGATATTAAATTCAGTGCAGAATGGAATAGAGTAGAAAAATTCAATTTGTTCTTTTAAATCTTATTTATGAAACACTTCAAATAGGTAATCACCTATTTATATCCAATATATATCCAAAAGCTAAGCTAGATTTTCTATGGGGCCAGATAATATCCTGGCACCCTTCTTCTCTGGCTCCATTTCTATCACCTAGAAAGACTGTGGAAACAGACCAGCCAACCTGTCCATGTCAAATGACCTCTGCTAGGAGAGTGACTTATGTTTAAGTCAAATCATACTTTCCAGGTGTGATTATTTAGCCCAGGCAGGGCAAATTATTACTTTATCTCCTAAACTCACTTCCAAACTAATAAGGTGCCCATTTGTGAAGCAGCTTTGCATGCCACATTGACATCCAGCGTGGGCATTAATGTTATTTACAGAATATAGTATAAAAACAGTCAATTCACAAGTCACTGAAAGATGTATCTTCTTTTAAGGCAAGTTTGTTATCTAATGGAGATGTGACATGAAGCAAACAGAAAATCCAGTGACAGGCATTATGGTATGATGTTTACCATGCAGGTAGGAAGGAAAGTATTCTGTTGTCATGAAAGGTATAAACACATAGAAACATGCTCTAACATGAAGGGGATACTCAACATAAATCAAGAAGTATTTAGATTGAAAAATACTTTTAAGATTATCAAGTTCAGCAGTTTACCCTGACACTGACTGGGTTAAGCAGCTCTGACAAACCCACCACTGAACCATGTCCCTAAGCACCACACCTCCACATCTTTTAAATCCCTACAGAAATTGTGAGTCCACCACTTCATTGGGCAGCCTTTTCCAATGCTTGATCAGCTTTTCAGTGAAGAAGTTTTTCCTTAATGTCCAATCTAAACCTCCCCTGGCACAGCTTGAGTCCATTTACTATGGCCCACCCCTTTCTTGGGAGAAGAGACCGCCCACCTCTCTGCAACCTCCTTTCAGGGAGTTGTGGAGAACAATAAAAAAGTCCCTTCCCCTTCTCTGTCTTCCAGCTTAGTGGGGGCTTAAATCTCCACCTAGAAAACCTCTTTCTACACAAACACTTTTTTCATAGCAGTTGAAAACCCCCCTTTCAGCAGACTTGGTGTAGGATCTGTGGCCCCTATTAGGGAATACTGGAGCTCCCTCTGTTTATGTATGCTCTAATGAGCTTTAAATGGTCACTGTTGCCTCAGAGCATGATGAACATGAATGATGGAAGATAGCTCAGACCTTACTGTGGCTGTGGTTCGGGTTACCTTGGTTATCTTCAGTAACACTTCATTGTCCCTGCTCTTGTATCTGGAATAGCAGGAATATATTGCTGTTTCATAGAACACCAATATAAAAGCACTTGAGAAACAATAATGAAGTATTTCAGCTGTTCAATCGTGCAGGAAGTCCAGTAGACACAGTATGATCACTTTTGTTTTAGTTGTAATAACAGCACAAAGGTATTAGAAGGGTTAATAGTAGCTGTGCAGCATTCCAGAGCTGTAAAATGCTATTTTTTCATACTTGTGTATAATTTCTTTGTATTCTTTCACTTCACATTCTTAATTGTGACCTATTTTTGTCTCAAACCTATTTTGGAATATTCTATATGGAGTGAAATTTTACAGCTCTTTTGTCTTTTTTCTGTGCTAAGCCTTCTAGGCTGAGCGTATTTTTCTGCTGTGCTCTAATGCTCTCCTTTATCTTCAGGGCATTAGTTGTATTTGTCATAAAATTGAAGAGCATCTGATAGAAGTAAAGTTTGTCTCCCCTTCAAACCATCAGAAAATGTATTGAATGTAATGTGTGATTCTTCAAGTCTTGTATCTCTCCTGTATATGTTGCCTTCTGCCACCAGGTCTCAGATGTGTTGTGCTGTATGTAAATAACAAGGCCTTTGTAACTTTAGTTACTTTTAATATTGGAGACATCTTGTTTTATATTGCTTAATCACATGTTTTTAGTATTCAACGCAGTTCGCTTCTCTATGTGATAAAAGTAACAGATCTATGTGCTTGTCTAAAATAGTAAACACAATCTTAGTAATTAAACTGGGAAAACAATACTTAATTTTCCTAGTTTACTGTAGTAGGCTGCCAATACAGAAGCCAAAAGCTGTTCCTTCTGCTAAACAGTGTGTGTGTCCAGTAGATTGGTCCAGTAAGTCAGATGAAATAATTTCAGTGTTATTTGTCTGTCATGAGACTGCAAGATTTAGTGTAATAGCAGGTTTTGTGCTGAATCATCAGCAGGTAGTGTCCAATTTATTATGTTTGGAATGTGAAGCCTTTGAGCACAGAGCATTTTTCCTCTCCTATCACTGCCTGTCTTAGCATTGGCAAGGAGTCAAGCCTTGTCACAGTTCTTCTAAATATGCTCCAGAGATGGGAAAGCTTCAGGAAGTTGGCATGGTCACTAAGGCAGGTGAGGAGGTAGCCTCTTAATAACCTGCTGAAACTGAAGCAACATGAATGCAGACTTTCACACTCTATATTGTATATCTGAGTGTATTATTTAATGAATCCAACTCTTTAATTTAGATCTGTTGAAGGATTCTGCAACTGATAAAATCATCTGCAGGAACTCTGAGATGAGGGCGGTGACTACGGCCACCATGCTACAACAGAGACTTTTGCCCAGTGTGTGCTCTCTTCATGTCCTACATCCTGGTGTACTCACACAAACCATCATTTGCTGTGAGGGCTGCTGGCTGTGAAAACTGTAATGTAACACTGTAATGTAACACAGCTGATTTTATGGAGAAAAATTTAAAAAGACTAGTGACCATTAAACTCACAGACCTTGAAAGAAAAATAAAATAGATTCATATGGTACAAAACAGGACAAAATTGGAACATTGTTTCAATTCATTAGGGGTTTATGCATTACTTGTTGAACTGGTTACTGTGACGACAGAAAGTACACTGAAAAATATAGAGAAAATAAATGGTGAATGGGAGAGGGACTCATCTTTGTCATTTTAAACCAGTTAGCAGCTAGTCCTAACCCATCTGTCACTTTGCTTCAGAAGTCCATGCCAGTATAGGTGTATGAGGCACTTTTTTCTTCCCTTTGAAGAACTGCACTTCCCCTTAAAAGGATGCTAAACTCCATGTGGAAACACAGATAACAAAAGATCATGTTAAATTTATCACTGAGTAGTTTTCTTAATTGACAGAGTCTAGTTTCGGGAAGTATTTAACAAAGAACAGATAAATTTAAGATAGACCATAAAAAGCAATTCCCTATTTTTTTTCTACTTAGCCTAATTTAGACTAGCTCAGAGGACCTTCTTTAATCATTTGATATCATAACACAGAAATGTGTTTAGCCTTACCAAAAAAAAAATCTCAGAGATGAATCACTGAAATAATTGATCTATTTAAGTTCTGCTTCAGACACATTTCAAGGGCATAAGTTATTTCTACATGTCATTAAAAAGATTTGGTGCATTGCTACAATTAATTATTTGATTGATATTAAAGTGGAATGAGATTTTTGGCCTCTCAACTCAATTGTGTGTGGGTTTTCTTAATGTGGTGTTTAATTCTGTGAGGACTTTGTAGCTATATCTGTTAGCTCATAGTTTGAAACTGAATCCTGAACCCCTGACTAATTTGGAGGCATTATATGAAAACTAATTTTTGGAGGTTTGGGTGGATAAAAAGGAAATTGAAAAAGCACACAAAAGTGCAAACCATATGACTTACAAAAGTTATGGCTTACAAGTTAAAACACTTGTTTTTCACAGGTCCGTAGTGATTGCCATATCATGCAGGGAGATGAGCAGTCTTCACCATGTATCATTTCTGAAAGTGTCAGCATCGTGTCCTGTCTTGGGAGACACAGCAACAATACCTATCACGTAAATCTCAGGGCACCTCTACTTAGAGGTGGGAAAAACAGAGGATGGGGGACTTAAATGACCTTTGGGACATCACCCAGCAGCCAAGAGAGAGAATCCAGATCTTTGGAACATTTCTCTTCTGGAAGGATACTTCACAAAACACTCATTGAAAGGTTTGCTGTAGAAGTTTCTTCCTGGCCTGAAGCAGTTTCTGGCAGCAGAGACAGTGCACTACAGATTTAACTTACCCCTGTTCAGGCATATTTCTAACTTGCTTTGGAGACATTTAGATGTCTCTAAATCTGGGAGCTGCACAGTCTCACCCTCAGTGAGTAAATTCACCTTAGATGGAGAAAAGAACTGGGACACATTTGTCTAATCTTTTTGTGAATACTAAGTGCTTGGTCTCGGTGACCTATTGCATTTCTGACTTGACAGGTTAATTATAAGTTATGTGGAAAAAAGTATTTATTAACTTTAAACTTTATTGCACTTCAACTTCACTTGCTTGTTTACTTATTCTTGTTTTAGTAGAAGGTAGATAGGAGCCCCACATTTATCTTACTATTACTTCTGTCATGCCCACTATCCCTGAATTAAGTACTGCACATTTTCTATATTTCTATTCTCTTACACAACAAAATGTATTGAATTCTTGTGAGGGGAAGAAAAGATCTTGCTCTCATTAGACAGATGTCATTTGAAAGGGCTAAGACTATGTTTCAAAATTGTCGATCTGCAGCTGTAGAGAGGCTCAAGTTTTCTGTCTTTCCATGATTATACCTCTGAGGCAAAAGCTGAGAAGGAAGCAGTTATGTCTGTAGAGAAAACAAATGACACTTTGTCCTATCATTCCCAGGCTGTGAAATCTCTTTAGACCAAACTGAGAACAGAATGCTATACTGAGAGCAAGGAACCCATTCAGAGAACCATTTGAAAATATTTCTAAACCAGCCACGTCTTCCCTCTCTCAGTTACAGAATACACTTTATGTTTATGTTTCCCCTAGCAGGAGCAATGGAGTTGCCATCCCTTCAGATTTCTTCACCACAAGCTGCAGCTCTGCAGAGCAGTGTCTGAGAACCAGGACCAGCCTTGTATGCATATGCTGAATCCCACCCAGGATGCATGGGGAAACAGGGGAAGAAGGTGGCCTTTTGTCCCATTTGGAGAGCTGGCACAAAGTTCACCTGTGCTCAGGAAGGCAAGGTGACAACTGCAGGGTTGCTGCTCTAAGCTGGATATCAGGGAGGCCCAACCTGTTCTTTCTGAGGTAATTAATGGTCTTCATCTCCTTTGGCACTGGCATTTCTAATATTTTATTCAGGGTGGAGCCCTGCAGGAGAAGGGCTACACTACAACTCTGTCCATGTCCTAATACACTCTCATTATTGCAAACCAAATTTCTGCCTCTTTTCTTTCTGCTATCAGTATCTGAGTGGCATTTCTTCCAGCAACAATGATGCCTCTAGCTTTGTTGGTCCAGCCCTTAGTTCCTCTCAGGAATGGTTAGTACTTACGTTCTCAGATGCATTCTGAATGTGACTTGTAATGAGCATTTAAGCTTATGGTATATGGCATTCATTACTCCCCTATATGGCAAGGAACACTAAGCCTCTGAAATGCAGTGCTGCCTGTTGCATGGTGCTGTGGGAGAAGCAATATTTCCAATACCAAAATTAATTTCAGTACCAAAGAGCTGTCTTGGATTCTTCCAAGGCAAATAACCTGCTAGAGAATCAGTTGTACCATTCACAATTGCAGCAGATGCATTATTGCAATTAACAGTGTCTCCTTAAGTGATGTAGTATTGATATTAATATAACTCATCCAGTGCTATAGGATATTTTCTGTGCCGTGGAAGTTCATGGGTGTGAAATATTTAGGCTTAATAAAATTGTATCCTCTGGAATTAATAAATAAATTCCTTATGTTACATCAGAGCTCAGATCAGTATTTTTTGCCTTAGAATTTCATAAACCCAGCAAGCACACTTGTAGATGCATTTGAATATTCCAGCTGTAGTTGTTTTTTTTTCTGGCTGGCTTTGTTGTTCTTTAACCTCTACCACAAGGCCAAACCTAGAAGAAATGCTGTGAGGAGGAGAGAGAGAGGAGGCTGGAAGGAGGAATTACTCAGAATGCAGGGAAAAAGTGAGACAGGCAGATATCAGCTGAGTCTTGTCAAGTTCTAGAGTTCATGGAATTGCTGTTAGATGGAAGGTAGGATCACACAATGCTTTGTCTTTCTGGGTACCACAGAGAACAGTAAATAATTCTTCTAGAAACTTGCAGGTTTTCTTTAATTTGAAATGGCCCTTAATCAGGTACTATGAACTTCTGAAGAATAGTTCAGAAAATGTTCCATTTACTCTTATCCTTGTTTCCCAATCTTTTATAATTGTCTATGTTATCACAGAAAATGCTGCTTCTTCCTTCTAAAAAAATACCAATTTTGATTATATCATTACAATTTTTAAAAATGTAATTATTTTATTTGTTGTTTGTGCTGTATTTAAAAATCTTGGCAAGGCAGGAAATTATAAAAAATAAAAGGAGTGCTGCTTCTGGGCCATGACGGTTTTGTGTCTATCTACTCTTGTTCAATAGACAACTATTCTCAATGTCTTAATTCACAATCATTTCCATTTCATGAAATAGCAAATCCCCAAATCTTGTATTTGTACAAGAAAATACTTGTACTTCCTAAATTTCTCTATTTTCTCTAGCTATCTCTGCAGACTCTTGTTCTGCTGCAGGTAGAGAAAACCTCAGCCTGCAAACAAACTGACAGCAATAGGTAGAGTGCAGATACCACATGTTCTTTTCAGTTAGGATGAACATAAAAACATGGGCACAAACCGATTTTTTCTGTTTTTACTTGCAGGTCACCTTTGGGGGCAAAAAAATGTCTGTCTTGGGTGTGTGAAATGACAGGCTTGTCCAACATAAGCCTGAGCAGCTGCAGAGATCAGCCTGAAGGCCTGGAGGAGATGGCCTGCCATATGGGATTCCCAAAGCTCTTCCTGTACCTATTCACTGCAGCAGCAACAATGCACAAAATGCTGATGGGAAGAGTAAGCACTAATTGCTTCTGAACTTCAATGTTTTATGGCCAAAAGTTTACTTTCCATTTCCAGTAAGGTCATCATTCAGTGAATCTTCATACTGCTTTTGAGCTAAAACCAGGCTTTACTGTGTTTAAATGTGATGTGGAGGGAAAAGCTGGAGCATAATATGTCCCTTCCATGAGATGTCTCAGCAAGGAGACTTGGTACCTTGGACATAAGGGCAGCATTAATTGCAGTCAGTCCCATGGGGCTTGACTACAGCACACACAAGAAGTGTCCCTTCCCCAAGTATTAGGGGTCCATGTGGAGCTCTCCTTGCCCCTCAGGAACAGGTAGAGTTCCAACTCCAACCTGACTCCTCCAAGCTGGAGAGAAAAAACCCAGCCTGTTTCAGCTGGGTAACCTTTCATTCAAATGTCATGTTAATTCAGTACTTTTTAGGTGAGGCCGTGGCAAGTGCCTGTCCAGTATTTGTGACAATGGCCGTGTCTTTGGCCAGGAGCACACACTGGTAACTCTTAGGTGGCATCTGAGCACAACAGGAGGGGACATTTTCAGCCATCATCCCTTACTTGCTCAGTGGTACCAAGAGCAATAGAGTGTGGAGAAGGGCTGGGAAAATCATCTTCTCTTGAATTGCTTGTTTGAGAGGCCCAGTATTGGACTTGTTGCAAAGGAAAGGGAATATTACATTTACTGAAAGTAAGATGCCACTCCCTCCTTTCCTTCTTTCAGTATCAATGGTTTGAGAGGCTGGACATTTATTTTTTTTTATCTTTATCTTTAGAGAAGTAATAAGCACTATTGCAGAGCTAAGGAAAACAGAAGCAAAGTGATGCATTTTGTTTTGCATGGAATGAAACAGTTCTGCTTTTGAAGAAAAAAAAAACCCTGCCTTTTTCTTTTTCTAGGGGAAAAAACCCACTCTGGTTTGCATATTCCAATTATTTTGAAGCCCTTTCTTTCATGAGGAGACAAAGATGAAACTTCACTGAGCTGATCATAGTTTCCCAAAAGTTCAGTTTAGCTCCTATCATCCTTTTTTTTTTTCTCTTTTCTTCTCTAAATTTCCCCTCTGGTCTGCTTCTGTGTTGCTCTCATGCTGCCTCCTTCCCAACATTCTTTTGAAGCAAATTTAGTGGGACAGTTAAGACTTCACTAAGGACAAATGCAGAGTGAGGACACTGACTTACTTTAACACACAGGCTCAGATTGCCATCATATTGTGATTTCTGAAGGACTGCAAAATCTGACACTGCATGATCACCAGTAGCTCAATTTTAATGTGATATAAAAGAAAAATCTGCTTAGTTCAAGTTCAAGTAGAGATTTGCACTTGGCTTGCAAAAAAAGAAAAGAAAAACCTAATGAGAAATCTATCTTGATAGTTCAATTTCATTTCTTCCAGCTTGAGAGAAGCAATTGTGTGCTTCCCTTGTTTACTATGCAGTGGAAGTAAACCGGTCACCCTCAGTGATGTGAGCTGCAATTAACAGATCAATGGCCACTTCCCCTTAATAAAAGAGACAGTTCTGTGCTGGGCTGGTATTTTATTCCTTTATTGTAATCAGCACAATGGGTCTTTCTTTAATCACTGCAGGTGTGTCCACAAAGTCGTGTGGCAGAAGTAGGTGTGAGCAGAGAGCCTGAGCTGTGCTCCCTGAACACCCCCAGCCCTCACAGCCAGGTCCTTCTGCTCCACTGTGCAATTACTCACCTTGTTCCACTTCAGTGCCATGTGTATATTCCTAATGATTCACCATATGACTAAGTAGAACAAATCTCCAATAACATAAAATGCAAAACGTACATTTTAATCAGTAGAGTATTTAGATATCTGCTGAATGTGTGTCGTGCTTCAGCTTACGCAGCCTCGGACCTGGGCCAGCTGGGAGCAGTGTGGCAAGTGTCCCGGTCCCAGCACTCCAGGTGTTGCTTTGGGCTTGGTGCCAGCGAGTGAGCTGAGGTGGAAGGGGCGTGCCACAAGGTAGATAGGGTGGAGTTGAAGGCAGGATCTCCCGAAGGATAGATAAGTTGACTGGAGGGTTGGTAGTTTGCTGACTCCTTAAAGTGACCATCGGTGCTAAAATAGTGGTCATTGTTAAGGTGGGAATTAGAGTCTAAAATGGTGAACTGCTTGTCGTTAGACAGGGAGGGGGGGACAAGGAGGAAGTGCGAGAAGAGGAGGGACAGAGCGGGAAGGATCTGAGATGGTGGCAGCACTACCATCTGGGGTCCCAAGCAGAGGAGGCGAAGGGGAACACAGGATGACAGAATAATGTGGTGAACCAGTGCTTCTTCTGGGTGGCACGGCATTTTTGACCCTGTTTCCCTCTCCAGGGCAGTCCAAGGGACGAGAAGAAGTGAGGCACAAAGCAGCAGGAGTTACGATTTTCATGGGCTCCCGCATCAGTAACAAGCTCCAATCTTGTGTCGCACTCCCAGCCTCAGAGGTGCAAGGGGCACTAGCAATCACTTCAGTTTGGGAAGTGGTAGTGGAGCTGGGGTTGTGGTGCTTTTCCTCCATTTTTAAAGTCTCCAGGATCGTGCAAGAGGTGAGGAGCATGCAGGGTGGCACGGAATCTCGCTTAGTTGTTCAATTGTAAAGCTTCACCCCCACCAAGTCCCAAATGCCCACTCTAAAGATGTTGGTGTCTGCGCCGCTTGGCATGCCACTAGGGAAATTGCAACAGACACACTTCATAATGATTTTTAGCTCTCGCTTCCCGAGCCCCTTCCTGTGAGCTGATAAAATTAACTTAAAACATCCATACATATCCTGTTCTACAGTCAGCATTCTGGAGCCCATCTTAAAACTTGGATTGGGGTAGGATATACACCCCTGGTCAGGGTAGGATAACAGGTGGTCTGTCCCCTCTCCACTTACCTGCAGTCCCTGCAAGCATTCACGGGTCAGCTAGTCGCTCCTCCAAGGGCTGCCCAAAACATCGAAAATCTGGCCAGGCCTGGCACAATCCAAAAGCTCTGGCAGAGAGGGAATGGCGTACTGGTACAGCACTCCCTGCTGACTGAATCCAACACAGAAAATCTTGAATATCAGAGTCCCTGTTTGGGCGCCACTTGTCACGTTTCGGCTTCCAACCTCGGACCCGGGCCAGCCAGGAAGAGTGTGGCAAGTAAAAGGAACGAGCACGGTTGGATGACCTGAAAAGTAAAACCACTTGAATGGCAAAATAACAAATGGCAAAAGGCAAACACACAGTACAGGTTAAGCCACAAAAGGCAAAAAATGTGTGGGTGCAACAGTATATATACAGAAGATCTGAGGGTTGGTCTGAAGGTGGGGTTCCAATCACAAACTGGGATTAGGAATATGAAAAATAATGCAGTAAACGACAATCAATCAGGGGAGAGAACTAAGAACATTCTAGAAGCATAACCTTATATTGACAGGCTTGCTAATGTATTCATCTTCCTGCCTACAGGCCCGATTCCCATGATCTTAAGTTCATGCCCAAGGCCAATTCATTATCAACCCCATCCAGTTCAATCCCCACATATGAGAAAGTTATTTATTTCTAATCACTGAGAGGTGCTCTAGTGGAACTAATTGTGAAAGATTATTTTCTTGGCTCTAACAATTTATCTGATGAATTTAGGCTACATTTTTTCTTTGTCAATGGAGTTTGTCTAGACTTCTCTAAATATATGTATTATTTGTAACTGTTTGCCAAATTTCTTTACCAATGGTTTTTGGTTTTCAGATCATTTATGAGTTGTTTGCAGCCTAGTTGCCTATGAAGAGAGACTATGTAATTTTGTTTGCATTAGTCCCATGGTCTTTAACTGGATGAGCAGGACTTCTGATGTGATCTTCAGCAATAATGAATTCAAATTCATAGTACCATAAGTACCAAAAGTACCAAAGTAGGTTGTTATGGCTACTTATTGATTCACTTGTGTTTCATAGCTGCTTCCTTTTCGTGCCAATATAATAACTAATAAATTTATTTATGGAAAGCAAACATAAACTGGACAAGAATATACAAAGCCTACACTGAGCTTAGGGATTTTCTAGGGGAAGAAAAAGATATTGGGAATTAAAAATAAATGACAGGCAAATATTTATGCTTCAAGAATCCTTCAGTCCCACTGATACAAATAAAACATAGATACGGGTGTCTCTTTAAATAAGCAAACAATGTCCCTGGTTGTTTTACACTCAGAATTCCTGTTGGCTTCCACTGTTGGGAAATTGGCTGAAGGTTAAGTATAAAGATAAAAGGTTACCAGTAGTCACAAAATAAGTCATAATTATTACAATTTGTCATTTAACAACCTGAGAAAAATTCAAGTAATGAATTCTCAATTATCCTTTGCTAGTAAATGCATTCTTGGCATGATAACAGCATCATGTAAGAGTCAAATGTGTGAATATAACCCAGATAAGAAAAGTGGTTGACACCTGGGCACTGGAAAATGAAAAACCAACTTTTCCTGCTATGTAATTAACTCTTGAAACAGAACTCTTGAATGGGGAAACATCACGAGATAACTTTATTCTTGTCATTGTGTCATTTTTACCTTTTCTTGAGAGGTGTCATGTTTGATAGAAACCAATTAGAACTGAATTTTATTTTGTATATTATTCATTTAATCTTTAGCTCTCATTTATCAGTGTAGAAAATAAGGTAATTGAAATACATAGTGGACATAAATTAAGTGATGTATATTACAGAAATGTTTGAAATTTGTTTAATAATTTTACATATTTCAGCTATCAGGAAGTATCTTCAAAGAGATTTACAGCTGTCATCATTTGACATATATACATTTCAAAATCTTGTTTATTCCAAAACTGAGGTCTTTGTGCTGTTTTTCAGACCTGTATTTCACTCTCTTCGCTTTTCTAGAACATGTTACTGGTGGTGTGGCCATGATGGCCTGATATATACAAGAAACAATTACAAAAGTGTAGTTGAATGGCAGTGGATACCTAATAGGAGTTTAAAATATTGTCAAGGCACAATGATATACTGTTGCATGATACTTATGCAGTAAAAGTAATTAACTTTAGCAGGAGTTTGAGACAGTGTTTTCAAATTTCAAGGATCTCTTGAGACTAGGCAAATACTCTTCAAAGGGGACCAGCAGTGCTGCCCAACTCTTAGATGGGCCCTTGAATTGGTTCAAAAGGTTCAGCACAGAGGCCGAAAGAAATAGACAACTGTGCAAAACCGCTAACAGACTTGTTAGAAAATTAGTGAACTTCTCCAATCTTTTGTAGTGTTTTTACTCATACATTTTTTTCTTTACTTTTTCTACTTTGTAGGTTCTGTATATATCTTTCGCCCCTGAGATTGTATAAAGATTCAGTCCTCCTGTGTGGAAGGTCAAAAGTACATGAACACTGTCTTCTCTTAAGCATACACTGGACACAAAACTAACAGAATTGCATGAATGATGGATTGAGGAAATTTCAGAATTGCATGCATGAAGGGGTGAGAAAAAGTATTTTCAGATCTTCTAAGAATGTAAAATAGTTCAGATGAGCAGGAAGCATCTCTCCCAGAACAGTTTTAGAGGTGCTCTGATCCATGAAACAGGGTATGAGAAGGCAATGCCAGGCTTTCAGCCAGCTTGTGACTTCCTGAACCCATGCTGGCATTTGGAACCTCTGCTTTGTAGGGATGTAACACACACAGCCCTGCTGGAGTGGGCCTGTGTGCATGAGCACTCTGGGTCCTATATGCACTGACAAGGACACTCAGTCTGGGGAGTAAAAGACCTGTTCCAGGCCATGATGGGCAGTCTGTTTTCTAGGGAGTGAATTCCAGACTGGTAATGACTAAAGAACCTGCCCATGTCAGGAAATGACTCTGTCTAATGTGTGAGAATACAGGGAATTTTTTCTTCCCTAGCAGTTACCTAGATGACAGAGTCAAAACTAGGTGTGAATTCTCAGGAGCATAGCTGAGCTATACCTGGATCCAGCTCTCTCTGCTCTTTGCTCTGCATGATCCATCCAGTTTTGTCAGTGAGGTACTCAAGCCCTTCTCCCTGCCTTTTTGATAGTTACCAAAAACTTTGCTGTCTCCCCAGTTTTACTAGTTGCTCCTCTCTAGTTCAGGGCTGTGTTTATATGTTCCTCACAGTGGATAAGTAAGGCTGAAACCAGCCCAGACAGGCAGGATTTTAATGGTCCATAGACTCCAGGCATATCATATTCCTTCTGGTTTCCCTATTGCATTGATGTCATAGATTGATATATTGCAGACAAGTTTTCTTCTTAATTGTCGCTGGGAGCCTGGCAGTCTGGTACTGCCATCACTGAACAGGAGCTGAGCTCCCACATGAATAGGGCATTCTGTCCTGCACCACATGGCAGGTAAGTTCAAGACATGTATGCATTTATGATGCTGTGTTTTTCCACTCAGGAATACCCTTTAAAAAAGAAAACCTTGCTATGTCTAGAAAGTCCCAACCAGTGTTAAATTATAGCTCTATTATATGGCAATGGCACCTGGTGGTTACTGGAAGCAGAGTTTATGCACTTCTTAATGAATCAGGACACCACCAATATATTACCAGAGTAGGGGGAAAATATATCAATAACCAAACTTCCCTTTGAGCTAAGCAAGAGTCAGACCTACAAGCTTGGTTGATTTTTTTATGTCAGGTTGGGTATACCTTCTAAAGCACAGCTTTTCATTCTGAATAGCTCTGTTGGTCACAATAATAGCCCAAGTCCTTCAACCTCTTAAAATTTTGAAATTAAACATATACTGCATTTTATTACATGTGTATTTATTGCTCATAGTGCTTTCTTGAATTTTGTTTTTGTATCCTCGAATTGCATGCATTTTCTAGTAGCTCAGATGTTTCCTATAATACAAATCATGGAATCACATCAACAAAGAAAATTCATCTTTCCTCTTATTTGTATTCAGCTCGTGAAGGGTAAAACTAGGTTTGAGAGATTCACATAAAATGTTCATCAGATCTTAATGAATGTGTGAAGTGATTCCATCACAAATGTGTACTTAGAACTCTTGCACAAGGTCAGACTTTGTCAGTATTGATTTGGAACAGAATTAAAATGCCAGAAGTTGTCCAGTTTATCATCAGCTGCTGAAACCATCTCCTCTCTGATATTTCAGCAAAGAAGCCTCAGGCAATCACAGTAATTATTCAGAAAAGCAAATCTCAACTACTTTTAAATGCAAAATTCTCTGTCCTAGCCAAATGATTGTTAGCAAGGGATTACACTATTATAAAACATATTTCGCCCTTCCTTATGCATGAATCAATCTTGTTTACATCTGACCAAAAAAGAAAAACAAAGAAAAAATTCAGTAAGAGTGTTCAATAATATCTAGTTTTTAGCTGAAGCTTCTTGTGAGATAAATCAATACATTCCAATAAAACCAAAGTTTGTTCTATGATAACCTTCAAGTTACTTCAGTTAAAACAAAACAACAGAATATTCCCTCACCTGTAATAATTTTAAACCTGGTTAGAAAAGTTTTTTCTTTCAAACTCAGAGGCATAGGTTTTAAAGCACATGAGCAAATGAGAGAGTTAAATGTGGGACTATCACTTCTTTCACTGAAGCAAGTCTTCCTCTATGTTATCAGAATAGCAGAGATAAATAAATAAAAACAGAATGTCAGGGCAAGGAAAAACTTGTCAGTCATAGCCTTTTCCTGCTATGAAACAAGGCAGAGTGGAATGAACTACAGCAGAGTAGACCCAGATGGCCAGGTTCCATGGCAAGCAACAGTTAGCACCTCCTAATCCTGCTGTTTTTTTAAAGGAGGTCTTACCTGTCTGTTCTCAAGGAAGGGCTTAGAGCAGGGATCTGACTGGAATTGAAATGCTAAAGCTGTAGTGAGGAATAAGTTACACAGATTTAAGACATATGGCTTGACCTCAGCTGAGGCTGGATTCTCTGTTTACATTAAGTGACTCTGTTTACATTAAGTGACTCTTGTAGATCATATTCTGCCTAAAACAAGGCCTGGGCTCTCTTTGGCCACAGTGCAGAACAGTACCCAACTCTGAGCCAAGGACAGTTTGTTATGGAGTATTCCTCTTCTAATGAGGCCAGATCTTCTACCTGATAGCACTCTACATCACTCAACTGACTAGTTCATTTAGGTTTAAATGGCCCTTCTGCTTGAAGAGAAGTCTTGGCTGCTGTCTTCATCTGTCATGGCCATCTGCTCTACTCTTTTTTTCTTCTCAGCATGACTAAAGTAACTTACATATGAGAACAGATTGCAGGACACACATTAACCTCTTTAGAGACCATAAATGATCCCCCAGGAGTAGAGAGTTTACTGTTTAACTCTGATTCCCCTTCTCTTGCAAGCACACATGCCATCTTATGCCACTATTCCCACATTTGAGAGTTTCAGGCTTTTCAAAATAGCTGTCTCTAATTTTCTCTTTGGGTCACATTTTGCTTTCAGTTTTTACAGACTTCCCACTGACATCACTGAAAGCTATGTGTACATATTAAAGGCAGAATATGTCCCAGAGTCAATGCTTTCTTTTTTCTCATATCTTTTCTTCTACTGTGGAATGTCATCTTAAATCAAATGTGTGTCATTAAAACGTAATAACATGCTATGACTTTTTGAGCTCTGTCACTGCACTCACTGAATGAACTTAGACATACACAAGATAATCATCTTAAGTACCTATCAACACACACCCTTCCTATGAACATAAGGTTGGTTGGGGTTAGTTGGCTAAGATTCTACTCTTACTATCAATGGTTCCTAAAAACAGGTTTATATAGAAAGATATATGTGGAAATATTCTTCTATTTAGTCATATTTTTTAAAAATATTATATAATTCTTACTGATTTACTTCATATGTCTAGATTGTAAGACAGATGCTACACAAGGATGTAGCAGATTTTTGAAAGTCCCCTCTTTGATTAGTTTATGATACTGGTAACACATTTGAAATGTTTAAGTTATTAGATGACCCTACAAGTTAACAGCCACATATTTCAAGTGTTTGAACCTTTCTTTACCTTGTCTTTGTGTAACACTCACATTACAAAAATGTGATCATTTGACAGTTTTGATTTTGAACAGAACTCACAGGACTTTTGAATTTGAGGATATATTTCTGTAATCAAGCAACACTCAGAATCACACAAAGGTTACTGTGCTGATCATAACAAGGTGGTGCTTCACTAGAACTCAGTTCATCAGTATCACCTCATTACCTATTAAGACTTAAAATCTTCTCCCAGATTTTGACAATGCCAACGTATACCCAACTCTGCAATTCCTTAGAGAAAGCTGGTGCCTTTATGTTTATTCACATTAATTTTGCTAAATAGTACAACATACTGTAAAGTACAATAATTTAGTCAGAACTGAATCAAGCTGCAATATCAACAGAGATACATTCTGAAGGGAAAAAAAACATGAGAGCAAACAGAGTGATTCCTTTCAAAGTTACCCAGAAGGCCCCTCACATCTGTAAAGACTTCCTTCACTGTATCTTCTTCAACGTTCTTTAGGGGGAAAAAAAATCAAAACCAAACCAAACAAACAAAACCCCAAAAGGAGCAAATGTGGTTATATTTGAATTGGGACATGAAGCTGCAAGAGACAATATGGTTAGAAAATACTCTTTCCTAATCTGACCACTCATTGAGTATTCAAATAAACTGAGGCACCAACTATTTTCTGTCCTGCTTTATGGTCTGACTCACAACCTCTCTCCCATCAAACATTGCTTACCTACATGAATAAATCTATTGAATCCTGAACAGCCAACCTCAGTGAAACTCCTTGTGCTGCCCAGGGAAAGTGAAGAGTGCTGGATATGACTCAGTTTACACTTTAGCACTGTTTTCATTTTACTGTCTCAAGTCCTACTTTTTGTATCACCAGGGAAGCCTAATACTCTTCTGAATGGGACAATTATTTTGTCAGCTGCCCACCAATCAGAAACAGCACCATACAGAAACAACCAGGGCCTTGTAAGTTTGCCTTTGCAGAAGTTTCCAGCTTGAGTGCAGGCTAATAGCCTTATTCCAAGCTGACAAGTTGTATCTATGTGTATCTATTTTAATCGTGGATTTATATGTTCAGTTTGTTCAGGAATTTAATGCCTCTGCCACTGATAAAACATAGAAATAAGTTTTCTTCCTTGAAAATTAGTTTGTAAGAAATTAATAAGATAGGAATGACAGAGGTGAATGACAGAAATAAGCTAAAATGGCTTGGACAGCAGATATTTCTGTTTGCAGAATCTATACCTGTGTGAATTTGTCCCTGCCTGAGAGTGATGTTTAATTTTGGTTAAAGATGTCAATGTCTTTCTGTTGTGGCATCCCCAGCTGCATAATGATGGTCATAATTCTCCCTCTCAATTTGAGTCTCTGTGACTCAGTGTGACCTTTGCTGATCTACCCAGCCCTCAGCTATTAAAGAACCACAGCCCTGGAGAGCAGGAGCACAAGTCCTCAAGCTGCTTTGGTGAGTT